TCGGCCCCTGTTCTAACAGTTCTGCTTTCTTTGGGAAAATCCTGCCTCAGGCAGCTTCAATGGAAGCAAAAATAGCTCAGAAGAGATGTCTGATTCTGCATCTTAATCTATGTGAATTGGATGAGCTCAGTGAGGCCTTGGAAGGAATGATCAGGAGAGATGAAAAGGAAGAAACACATTAAAATCTCAAAGTAGTGATTGTATATTTTAAAAAGGAAAAGAAAAGATTTCTAAGAGCACCACACCTTTCCTAACAAATGAGTTACACAAGGCACTTCACCCACAGATGAAAACCCCAAATTTCTCCTCGGGTCAAGGAGAAGCAATATTTTCCCTGGTGTTGTCAATTCTCTTTAGAATTAGACTTCTGTACGACAGTCTGGGAAGTTTTCAGTTACTTCTCAGCCCCTTCAACCGTCATCTTGTGTCCTCATTTGTTTACTTAAACAAAAACAAGCCAATTTGCTGTGAAGTTTGTCTGCCTTTTACTTGCTTTGACGGGGACTGTTTATAATGTATACTCAATTGTTGAAGGCCGTGAGCACCCAGGTGATACAACCAAACCCAAATTATTCACGAAAAAGAGTACAAATATGTATGACCTGCTACAACTTACAATCAGCAGTAAACTGCAGGGTCATCCCAGACTGACCCAAAGAAAATTACAAAACCCTAAGTGAAAAGTGCTTCGTATATAGAGCCCCTATATATTTCATTCAGCAAAACGATTTCTTCTTTTCATATTCACCAACTGAAGGAAAAAGTGTTGATAAGTTATTTGGGAAAACTGGGTCAGGGCTGCATATTTTTAGGAGAGACAGTGAAAAAACAAAGCTAAAACATAGAAGGTGGGTCCCAGTAGACTCATATCTTTTTAGGGTTCCAAGTCATTCTCAATCTCCTCTTCATAATCCTTTCTGATAAGATTTCTGATCATTTAGAATAATATTATTTATATCAATTCTATAGTAATTAAAGGCAAATTTAAACCTGAGGGATAGAATAGATCCTTGCTGGATCATTAACAAGTAACTTTCGGACAATAACAAGGTTTTATAATCACCATTTCTCAGATAAGAAAACTGAGGCTTAGAAATTATTTAACTAGCCCAGGCTGATTTAAAAATCTATACTCTAAAAATCTGCTACAACTTATGCCCTCCTACGGCTATAAGTAAGTGGCCACCTGGAGAATACTTTTTTCTCTATTTCCATCCTTCCTTCACCTGCATATGCCAACGTGGACAGCAACCAAGCTGCCCTCAGAAGATAATGCCACCATGTGGCCAAAATGGAAACTGTCTGAACTAAACTGGCTCTTCCACTCATGCCTCTCAGAGGATCATGCATGTAGGCCCATACATTAAAGGGGATAACACTATATTCTGCATGGGAGATACCTTCTTGTCCCCTCTTTACAATCCTTTTTACATTAATATATCGAACCATCTCCTATTCACCTCTCAGGACTCAGCTCAAACGTATCTCCTCCTCAGGGAGGTCTTCCCTGACTCCCCAGGCAATAAGCAACTAGGTTCACAATGTTCCCGGTATGCCTCTCCTGGTACTTTTTATCCCCATATCTATGCTTCAGCACCTATGATTTTATATTAGTCATTTACCCCACACTGAGAATATCTATCATGTACTAGGCACTGGACTAGAGTAAGTTACTTTTGTATTTCCATTGTATAACACTGGTTCAGGAAAATAGCAGGCAGTCAGTCAGAAAATGTTTGTTGAATGAATACATGAATGAAAAAACTACAAACAAGATCTTATCCATATCATCAGGAAAACAACTTCTGCTGTTTTCTTTTTATTCCATTTGTAACCTTAAAAAGTAACGCAGGGGCCAGGCGCGGTAGCTCACGCCTGTAATCCCAGCACTTTGGGAGGCCGAGGCTGGCGGATTACGAGGTCAGGAGATCAAGACCATCCTGGCTAACACGGTGAAACCCCATCTCTACTAAAAATACAAAAATTAGCCGGGCGTGGTGGCGGGCGCCTGTAGTCCCACCTACTCGGGAGGATGAGGCAGGAGAATGGCGTGAACCCGGGAGGCGGAGCTTGCAGCTTGCAGGGAGCCGAGATCATGCCACTGTACTCCAGCCTGGGCAACAGAGTGAGATTACCGTCTCAAAAAAAAAAAAAAAAAAAAAAAGTAACGCAGGGTACAGGATGGCATACTTGTACTACAGAAACCAAAACCATAAAAATCATGGAACCAACATACCTACCCTCTAATGACAGCAAGTTTACACAAATATGGGGTGAAATTGACAGCCCCTCATCCCATTCTAAATGTGTTACACCCAATACACTGTGATTAAATTTTTTTTAAGTTAGAATTGTGTCTAGAATAAGAGTAAGTACATTCTGAGAGGTAGTCTTCCATCTCCACAATTTTTTTTTTTTTTTTTTTTTTTGTCTCAAACATCACGATTTTGGATACTCTTTTCTCTTGTATTTAACTATAAGTATAGGAATTTATTGCCATTTACTTACCACAAACATACACAAATCATGTATATTTTGTGGGTTACGTTTTTGTGGATTAACTTATAAATCTCTATGAAAAATATATTCCAAGTCCAAGTGACAAAAGCCATAAATCAATAATGCCACAAAACCTATTTTTCTTTTGGAAACTTCAGGTAAAGTCAGTGGGTTGCATTTTTGCCACTTGTAGGTATCAAATGACCTGCTAGTCCCGGAATTGAGACTGGCCAGAAGTCTCAATGTTCAACTGGGGCAGTAGCTGAAGAGACTTATCTAAGGTTATAATGATTCTGGAAACAAGACTGTATGAGAGAGCTGATCATGACTGTATCTGTTAAAAGAAAAACACACCCACAAATAAATCCATAGGGATCAATTCAATTATTTTCTCAGAATCTCCAATGACCATGAGCCTGAGGCAAAGGATGAACCAGTGAATCACTAGATTCTCAGTAAATTTAAAAGAATGAAAGCACCAAATTACATCCCGTGGATCTCAAATGAATCATGTTTAATGTGCAGGATATCTCACTATTTATTTTTTTCTTTATTATACTGAGATCGAGTCCCAGATATGAATTTGGTTCCCATTCACCAAGTTTTAAAATCTCTAAACACTAGATGAAATGTGAGGGTTTTTAAATTGATGATTACAAAATAAAGTGATACAAGATGACTTCGGTACAGGAAATCTCAGCCATCCAATGAATGAGTCATTCTGCACAGCCTAGTTTTCTGAATTGGTAAGAGCCTTGCACATGAAAACAGCTCGGAGGTTAATTATTCTGGGTGTAAATATTTCCAAAGTATATTGAACATTTCCTTCTCTTCTTAAAGAGTGTGTCTAAAAATGTATTCTTTCCATAGTTCACTGTTAACAACAGTAAATAGCAATTACTGGTTTATGTTATTATAGAGTGGTGCCTGCAAGGTCAATGGAGGGTTCCTACTCTAATATTTCCAAGCTTTCAAAGTTTCTGCTCCAATTCTTGCCTAAAGTTACAGTTTTTCTGTCTTTTTCCTAGTTGTCAGGCTGTCAGGGGTCACCTTTTACTACCGATTACAGCAGCCCCTCACCCCATTCTAAAAGTGTTACCCCCAATACACTATGGATTATTTGTCAAATTTTTTAAATGTTAGGATTGTGTCTAGAATAAAAGTAAGTACTGAGAGAGGGCCTGAAATATTCTCTTGGATTTTCATACTATCTACTCTGGTTGCGAGTGGACTTTTTGCCCCCTTCCTGGTTCTTGGCTAGTTTCCGGATACGCAGAGAGCCACACTACAGACTCAGGTATGCTATGATGACTCCTGATGCTCTTTATAATCCCCACACTCCAAATGTAAACCAAATCATCACATGACCTAAGAAATTTCTGTCCTGGCCACACAACAAAACAAGTGCAAAGATTTCCGTGCAGGCGAAATGTCTAGGTTGAAGGATTAATCCAGAAACTGGAGAAGAGTTCCTATCTTACATAACAGTTCTATATTTTGTATATCTACATCATTTAGCAGCATGAACAGGTGGGTATCTTATACAAATAAGTATGGCCAAACATTTCTTAAGGGAAAAAATTACCAAATGACTTAAAAAAACTCACAGTTCAGTGTTTTTTACTATGAGATTTTTTCAATTAGGCCATCTCATTTTAACATTTAACTGTTTTACTTACTAACCTGCTATATTGGGAAAAGTTATCTCCATTACTCAAAGGGAAAAAGTGCTGCTCCAACATTTGAATAACCTAAAGATGAGTTTGAATAGTCCCTACCAGCACTGAAATCAAGCATTCAACCTAAATGGCTCTACGTAAATCCTCTGCAATCTATAAAATGCAAAAGTTTATATAACCCTGTTTGTCAAACCTGAGAAAGTAAAACGGAGCAGGTAAACCAGGCTTCCCGCTGAAATTAAGAACACAAGCAAAGAGGGTGGATCATCAATTACCCTAGTTATGCTTCCACACCCCAGTGAAGGAGGCTGGCCCTCCAGCTATTTATAAACGTGGAGCTCAACCAAAGGGGGCCCTGTCATCACCACCCCAGTGAGTCCAGGTGTGAGCTGGGAGGCTCAGGCTCAATGGAATCTCCCTCAGTACGGCCCTCCATACTTGGCCATGCAGGATCTTTCGGGTGCAGTCCTGTCTGGTCAGGAAAAGAACTGTGAAGATTTCCAGCGGTCACTTCCACCCTATGATTCTATATATGGAAGCATCCCATTCTAGTGTTTTCACCATCGTGCACACCATACTAGGGAGGAGGAATGAGTAGGCCGGCTCGCTTCTTGCTGCTCTGAAGGCACACTCACTTTAGTGTCTCCCAGGCCCCACTGCCCTGGACTGGACCTTGTCATCAAATGGCAGCCCAGACCTCTGCTGAGCTTTGCAGGCTCGCAGCTTCAACATGGAACAGCTGGAAGAGGACCCTGCATTCTTTTCTCTGCATAAACACTGGGGGCTCTGTTCACCCTCCTGCAGCCGCATGAACTAAAGAATTTCCCCTATCCAAAATCACAACCATCAGACTTTTCCCCCATCCCCCAGCCTCCTCCTACCCTCCAGGATATAATTTCAGTCTGTCACCACCCACGCTAGCAAATAGGAAACTGCTGGACCTTTCGACTATATTCACTTTCCATACTAGTTGAGGTGTCTGTAAATACTAGCAGGGTAATATGAAACGATTCTGTTCTATTCAGTAAAGTTTCCTGACGAGAAGCATTAGGGAACCCACTTCATGCCTGTCCTTTCTCCAAGACCCTTTCTACAAGATCTGTATCAATATGGATAATGTCACGAGCGGTAAGCTTAACCCCATAATACACATACTGCAAATGTCATTTTACTAGTCTGTAGCGTCACCTGCATATTAGTCTGAAGACGAAGCTCTAAAACCAGAATATCCGTGGGGAAAACCGAATAATAAAATTGGATTTTCATGTACTCCCCACACAGCCTTATCCAAGCCTGGCTTCTGAAGGGCAGTCCCGGGCATCTATCATGTGTTGCTGAAATCCAGCGAGCCACGTTGCCCAAAAGAAGAAGGAGGAAGGAAAAAACACACACACCCAGAAAATCCAGACTCTACGTGACGTGACTTACTTATTTCCCAGGAAACTGCATGAGAGAAAAATCAATCATTCATGCTACGGTAGCTACCACACGGAAGGGGCTGATGGAGTTCACAGTGGACAAAACCCCAAAGCGGCCGGCGGAGGTAAGTGGGCGGGGAGGGGGGGCGGGTAAAGGAGGGAGCGGATTGCGAGGGCCTCGGGGGCCGCGCGGTCCGGGTCCTGGCGGAGCGGCTGGCGGGGGCGGGCCCCGGCCTGGCCCGAGGCAGGAAAGCGAGGGGCGGGCGGGACGGTGGCGGCCGCGCACTTACCGGGGCTGTTGGCCTCGCGTTCGAGGACGTGCAGCTCGGCGCAGTCGGCCAGCGAGTGCTCCAGGCAGAGCTGGAGGAAGCGGGCCTGGGTCTGGCTCACGCGCTTGAGCAGCGACAGCAGCGCAACAGTCTGCTCGCACTCGTTCCAGCCCTTAAACCAGCCCGCCAGCACCCCGACCTGGTCGCGAAACATCATGGTTAGGGGGCCGCCCTCGGTCTACAGAGCCCCCTGGGCGCCCCAGACCGCCCCGCCCGCCCCAAAGTTTGGCGGAGCCGCAGCCCAGCAGCCGGAGACGCGTTCCCGTTCCAAGGTGGCTCTGGTGCCCGGACGCTGCAGGTACTGCCTGGGCTCCCGCCTCTCTCGTCTGGTTTCAGTTACGTTCCGGTGGTTCTGGCTGATTTCCCCAGAGACGATGACAGACAGTAGCACGGAAATGTTTCTTTAAAAAAAATAACGACTTTTTAAAAATCCCCCACAAGGCACACAACTGAATGAAGAATGCTTTCTCCCCCCTTCTTGCAGCTTCGGGATGGTGATTTCCGGCGTCCTGGGGTCTCCTCCCCACTGGGCGGCAGCTCGGACCCTTCACGCCCGCATTCCCGAGCGGCGATCACCACTGGAAGGAGAAAAAGAGCTGCAGTGAGACCTCGGCCAGCGGAGGAGCGCGCCCTGGGGGACCAGGGCATCAGAGGGGGTTGGGGGTGGGGGCGTCCCGCGGAAGGTTGGGTTCCCCGAAATCTGGCCGCCCCCTCCGCACCCGATGCGGGAGATGGGTTATTCCCGGCTGGGGAATAGCGAAAAGCCTGCTTCCCAGGTGCGGGAGGAGACCCCGCGGCTTCCTGTTGCTGCCGCTGCCAACGGCTGGTGCTCCCCTCACGCCCCGCCCGGGGTGGCCTCGGGCGCCGTGCCTGCGAACGCCAGCACCAGCAACAGATCTTCCCCGCGCAGAAAACTTGCAATGCGGCTGCGAAGGGGCGCGGGGGTGGGGGTGGGAGCTAATGCAAAGCAGAGGCGGAGGCAGCGGCAGCCCGAGTTCCTTCCTCCTCCTCTTACTCCTCCTCCTCCTCCCAGAGAAGCAGCCGAGTGGCTGCAGCTCCATCTACAGCAACAGCCAGCATCTCCACCGCCAGGCGCCCCTCTGGATTTAGGCCGTGAGCAGCCGCGGCAGCAGCTCGAGACAAAAATAAACTCTCCCCACCCAAAGCTCCGCGCCCAGCGGGCGGCGGCGCAACCCAGAGCCCCGGCTCCCCCGCACCGCGCAGCGCCAGCCCACCCGGGAGGTCTCCCAGGGCCTGCTCTGGCCGGAGTGGTCAGTGTGCGCGCGCGTGTGCGTGTGTGTGCGCGCGTGTGTGGCAGGCATCCTGCCGCCGCCGCCTACGGGCGGGTCTGTCCGGCCCGGCGCCTCGCCCGCGCGTCGCAGGCCGAGGGTGGCACAGCCCCGGGCACACGCCGCGCGCAGGGACTGCCGGGGTCCGCAGCGCTACCCCCTGCGGCAGGCGGGGCGGCCTCGCGGGGAATGCGAATCGACGCCGGAGGCACACGCCCCCCAAAGACAGCAAAGAAGAAAGTTCGGCTGCGGGGGTTCCCCCAGTCCCATCTCGGTTCTGGTGGCCGCCGCCGGCGGGGAGAAGAGCACAGCGGCTCAGCCTTCAAGGGGCGACTCGCTTCCAACAACACGCTGCTTCCGACTCCCAGAACTTCTCGGGCGGAGGGGGAAGCCCCCGGGGAGGGGACCCCAGTGACCGGCGGGTCCCCCGCCGAGGGCCGTAGGGAGGGAGCGCTCACCTCTGCGCGGCTCATCCCGGCGGCACGGGGGCCCTTGCGCGGGTCCGGGACCGCGGCGGCTCTCAGCGGGGTTGGGGGCGCCCGGAGCGCGGGCCGCCGGCCATGCCGTCGGGGCGGGCGGCGCGGGGAGAGTGCGGCGCTTCGAGTCGGGGCCGCCGCAGCCGCTGCTGCTGCTGCCTCCAGTGTCGGCTCGCGGAGGACTGAGTCGCCCGAGCCGGAGCTCCCCACATGCTACTGATTAACATACACCATTACATCATGGGCTTGGCAGGGAGCGCCCGAGCGGGGGGAGAGGAACCCGGGCGGCGGCGACGGAACGCGGGGGGAGCCGGGGGGAAGAACCCCGGACCCGGCGCAGGGAGGGGGGACGGATTCCTAAGTGGGGACCAGAAAAAGGGGAGGGGAGCGGAGTGGGAGGAGCTGGTGGCGCAGAGGGGTCGGGTAGAAGGAACCTCGGAGAGGAGCGAAGAAGTTCGGGGAAGAGGACGGGTCCGGGTGAATTTCTTCCCGCGGCGGCCTGCGTATTCTGGAGGGGCCGGGACACTCAAGCCACTCGAGCCCCGACAGAAAGGGACCCGAGGGCGCTCGTGCGGGGGCGGTGCTGCCACCCGCTGCTCGTCCTTGGGAATGTGGTTCGTCAGCTCGGGTGACCCTCGGCCCTTCTGGGGCCCGGGGGTGGCCGAGCTGTGTGGCCCGCGGGCGGTGAGACCCGAGGTCACTGCAGCAGATGCTGGGATGGTTTCCGGGGATCGTGGAGGCGAAGGGTTCAAGAGGCTGAGGGGCAATGCACAGGGTTGGACGTGCCCAGGCGCTGGGCTCCGTGCCGCCCTAGTCCAAGGGCCTGGCCCGGGTCGGGTGCCAGATGCCCTTTCCTCTGGCGCAGGCTCCTAGAGGCCGGCCCGGTGCCTGGCTGAGTCCCACTCTTCCCCGGGGAGGCGGCCCAAATCCTGAGACCGGTCGGGGGAGCCGTGCCTGGCGCGCAGGCTGCGGCTTCGGGCCTGGAGCGTAGGCGAGCGCCGCCCTGGGCGACAAAGAGGCGGGGCGAGGCCACCTGTCGGCGCTCAGGCGTCGCCAGACCTCACAAGCTTCACCTGGATCTGGAGAGTACGCAGGGCAGCGGCCACACGGGGGCTTCAGGTCCTTGCCGCGTGAGAGGCGAGGAGGGCGCGGCGCCAAGTCTGAGTGGTGCAGGGTGGGCTGCGAAAGTGCCTGATAGTCTTGCAAGTAAAGGTTTGGTTAAAAATACCCTAAACCCTAAAAACCTCTGTACCTCCTGATGTGGGTTGAATAATCGCAAGGAGGACTTAATGACTAAATCTGGTCTATCTCCGTGATTTCAGAGGAAGCACTGCTCCCTCCAGCAACTTGAGGCTTTGTTTATACAGGAGTAATTCTGAGAAGGCAATGAAACGTGTGCTTCAGACCAGCCTTTCCTACTCCTGCTAATCCACTGTTTTGAAGAGAAAGTATCTGAGATATTATTCCACTAATTAACGCTTTTGTTTTCCAACTCCAGCATATGTCCCTGGAATTTCAATGTTTTCTTCCCTTCCTCCTCAAATTTAGTTTCTGCGGCGTATAGGTCGTTTCAGACACGTGACAGCACCTAACCATCTGTTAGGGTTTTTGAAAGGTCTTGTCGAGCTGCAAAAATGTGGATTTTTTAAAAAGTTAATTATTAACCATACAGGTAAAGTATCCGCATAATTTAATGAATATTTTGCCCTATTTAGAAAACAAGAAACCTGGAGTCAGTGTTTTATTTTTGTTTTATTTTGTTACTGTAGAGGCAGGACGGCTTGATAGATTTTGTCCAAGAGATTACTATCAATTAGCTAATTCTTAGTAATAACATATCAGGAAATAGGGAGGATTAGAGAGTATGGTCAACTTCAGTATATATCTTGCTATAAATTGTAGGAAAAGCAGATGTTCTTACAGGGCTTTTGGAAGCTCCCAAGAGTGAATTTCTTTTAAAAGAAAGTGAAAGAAATTTCATTAACATGTGTTTTCACCTGCAACTTACTAAAGGTATAGTAAAACTAAAAACAAAACAGAAGAAAAAAAAGAAAAACCTCAAAACGCTTAGGTTGGCGAATGAAAATACTGCCATCTACTGGAAGAGTGTGGTTCTTACAACAGCCTTTGACCTAAGAAAAGACATTGATTTATCTGATTTTTGAATTCTTACTGTTCAGGACACTCTGTAAGACATATAAAGTTGAGCATGACCTGAGCTGTCAGTACTCTTGTATTTGTTTGTTAACAATTCCTTTCCTCTGGGCAAAGGAAAGGCAGTATAAATGAAACCCAGGGATATGGCCTTGCTATTCCCCAGAGTGAAGTCATCACTCTAAAGGAAAAAAAAATACCATTCATTAAATATAAGTTATTGTATTAAGTGTGGATTTTTCCTATGTCAACCTGGACCCAGTATTATTGATAAATAAGTGCCTAACATTTAGTAAATATTCACATCACTTGAAAAATGAATGAAAATATCCTTTCATTAAAAGATATTACTATGTCTATGTTCACTATATTCGTATTTATTCATTTGAAAAATACTTATTGTGCCACCTTGTGCCAGGCACTGGGTTAGGCAATAAGTGCCCTGAGTATTCTGAGTACCAAGTACAGGCACTGAGTACACAATGGGGTACTAACCAAGAGATACTCTGTATGAATAAAACACAGATCAGATTGTCAAATGAATTAACATTCCCAACATTATTTTGCTTTTCTCCTCCTTGGAATCTGGGAAGGGAAGAAATTGTTTTCTGAGTGAATAAAACTTTTGATCAAATAATTCAAATGTTCAGATGTTCCAAAGATTACTAATTCTAGATAAATCATTGACATATTTATAAATCACTGCTTAAGAGGATGTCTGGGTATTATTTGCATCAATAAGAAACCCCAAAGATTTCATGTTTATTTTAAATTTATATTTCTTCTAGAATAATCTAAAACAAAAGAAATGCATTCGATATAAAAACATTAGAGCTATAAGCTTTAATTATTTGCTTTATAAATGAGCAAAACTATTAAAATCTCTACATAAAGGGAAATGACAATGGATAATTGCCATTCATTTAATCATTTGATAAATATATAGAACACTTGTTCTGTGCCAAGTCCTCAAGATAAAATGTTAAGACATTTGGTATTTTTTATCTAACACAAAAGCCCATATAACAAACATATATATGATTATATTATATATCAAGAAAATATATAAATAAAATTTCATATATTCATTACACATTTTTAAATGCATATATGTGCCACAGGAAAATGTGTGAAGAGATTTACACCAAAAGGGTAACTAATGGTGAACTTCTCTGCATGGTAGGATTTCTGAGGATTGTTGTCTTGTTTCTCTATATTTTCTAACTTTTCTACTATGAGTAGGAAAACTAAAACCAAAACACTACATGAGTTCAGGCCTACTGTCTAAAACTTAATTTTAAAAGAAACTAAAACTCTACTATAAAATTTAGGTCTATAACTCCCAAGAATTGTTTGAGCCTGTATCACTTCCTACCTAGGTTTTGTCCTTGACTCATTACTGCGTCTCCCTTCCTCAGTTCTCATCTCTCCACTCTTTAGCTCAGACATTTTCGGTGGTTTCTGAATAGACACTGAATACATTCCAGGCTATTTGGGCTGGCATACAAAGACTCCAGGATTCAGATACTATCTGCCCTTCTGCACGTCTCTTCTACATTTCATTCACTGATTCATTCACAGAAAGTATTTGTTGAGTATAAATCACTGTGCTGGATAATTAGAAGAGACAAAGGTAGAAGAAGAACCGTGCTCTCTTGAACCTCCAGTGGGTAGCATAAAGTATGTTTTTGGCATGTGCACGCACACACACCCACACTTCACAAAAACGTACAATGTGAAGTGGGTCTGAGGGGAGGCAACATACAGTGTTGAGAGAGACAAGAAGAGGCAGCAATTCTGCTAGAAAATTAAGGAAGATGCTGTGGATCTGTTGCCTTTTGAGCTGATGTTCATTGGATAAATAGTTTCAACACAGATAGGCAAAATTTTAAACATTTATGACATCCTGTGGGGACCAGGATATCTAGATATTATTTGTATCAAGAAAGCATCCTGAGGACTGCATGTTTGTGTATTTTAAGTTCATATTTCTTCTAGCAGTTATAAGTAAAATAAGGGAAGGAAATGCAGGTCCTCCCAGACTTTGCTGTACGCTAGTGGAAAGTGATCCTCCAGTAACACCATCTACTAAATAAGCTATTATGTGTCCTTTTTCACATTACCGGAGAATGCAATTTTTAGGACTCTACCCCACTGAAGTAAAAGCACCATTGCTATAAGATAAAGTATACTAAAATATAAGTATAAATACAAAAATGTTAATTTTAGCAATTTGTAATGGCAAAATGCTAGAATATCTATCTGCAGGGTAATGAGCAAATAAAGTATTAAACTGCCATATTGTGAACTTTATGCACTTTTTAAAAATATATATATATATTTTAGAGACAGGGTTCACTATGTTGCTCAGGCTGGTCTCAAAACTCCTGGGCACAAGCGATCCTCCCAAAGTGCTGAGATTATAAGCATGAGCCACCTCACCCAGCCTTATGCACTTATTTTTAAAAATAAGTTATACTTCACCTGTAATCCCAGCACTTTGGGAGGCCAAGGTGGGCGAATCATGAGGTCAGGAGTTTGAGACCAGCCTGGCCAACATGGTGAAACCCCGTCTCTACTAAAAATACAAAAATTAGCCAGGCTTGGTGGCGAGCACCTGTAATCCCAGCTACTCGGGAGGCTGAGGGAGGAGAATCACTTGAACCCGGGAGGCAGAGGTTGCGCCACTGCACTCCAGCCTAGGCGACAGAGCAATACTCCGTGTCAAACAAAAAAAAGTTATACTTGAGTAAAATGCATCAAAATATAATAGACTGATATTATAGAGAAATAGATAAATTAACGTGATAATGTGATAAAAAACAAATACAACAAAATGCTAATTGTAGCATATTGGTGGTGAGGATATAGGTGTTCACCGTTTAATTCTTCCAAATTTTCTGTATGTTTGAAAATGTTTATAATAAATTATTAGGGATAAAAAGGAATGATTCAAGTTCCCACATATTGGCCTAAAAAGATAAGTTTTAAAAGTGTCTTTAGTATAATTCTATTTTTATGGTTTAAGAAGGCTGGCTCTAGAGCAAGAGTCCTGAGTCTTCAAGCCTAGCGCCCTGTGATTTACCAGCCCTGTGACCTTTCTCACGCCACTCCCACTCTGGTTTAGTGTTACTGGAAACTAACTTACCTCGTTATTATGAGGAGTAAATAAATAATACACTTGATTTCTTAAAACAGTACCAGACATGTAGCAAGTATTCAATAAATACTATTATTAGCTGTGATTGAGAGGAAAAAAGGGGGCATGTCGGGTGGGAAGGAGCAAACCTGTCTCTCTCTCTCTATATATACACACACACACACACACACACACACACACATATACACACACACACACATATATGTGTGTGTATATATGTTAAACTTTGTATATGTTATATATATACACACACATATATACACACACATATACACACACATATACACACATACACACACATATATGTGTGTATATATGTTAAACTTTGTATATATGTTATATATACACACATACACACACATATGTGTGTATATATGTTAAACTTTGTATATGTTATATATATACACACACATATATACACACACATATACACACACATATACACACATACACACACATATATGTGTGTATATATGTTAAACTTTGTATATATGTTATATATACACACATACACACACATATGTGTGTATATATGTTAAACTGTATATATGTTATATATACACACACATACACACAGATATATGTGTATATATGTTAAACGTTGTATATATGTTATATATACACACATATATACACACATATATATTCACACACATATACACACATATATATGTGTGTATATATGTTAAACTGTATATATGTTATATATACACACACATATATACACATACACACATATGTGTGTGTATATATGTTAAACTGTATATATGTTATATATACACACACTCACATATATACACATACACATATATGTGTGTATATATGTTAAACTTTATATATGTTATATATACACACACATATACACACACACGTGTGTGTATATATGTTAAACTTTGTATATATGTTATATATATACACACACACACACATATATTTGTATGGAATGGGAGGAGGACACACATACAAACACACACACGACATTATTTTTTTTGTTTGTTTTTAAGTGTAATGCAACCCCATAAGGAAACAATCAGAGAAATCCAGAAAGAAAGACATTCTCCAAGATAACTGGCCTGGAAAAAAACAGCAGGACTGCTCCAGATTAAAAGAGACATAGGACACACCACAGTCGTAAGCAATGTATGACCCTTCATTGCATTGAGGTTTGAAAAAATAGCTATGAAAGACATTTGGGAGACTATTGAGGAAATATTGAACATAAGCTGGAAATTAGCTGATATTAGGGAATTATTATTAGTTTTGTTAGGTGTGACCATGGTATTGTGGTTATGAAGCAAAGTACCTTTTCATTTCATTTTTAAAAAGATGTTCATGCTGAGGTGTCTGGGTAAGTGGTCAAGATGTTTGCAACTTAGAAATAATTCAGCAAAAAACACATACATAAACACATAGATAAATGTGGCAAATGTTGCATCAGGTGGTGAATATAATAGGTCTACATTGAACTATTATTATTTTTTTGTTTTGGTTTGGTTAATTTTGAGACTCACTCTGTCACCCAGGCTGGGGTGCAATGGTGCGATCTCGGCTCACTGCAACTTCCACCTCCTGGGTTCAAGTGATTCTCCTGCCTCAGCCTCCCAAGTAGCTGGGATTACAGGTGCCTGTCACCACGTCCAGCTAATTTTTGTATTTTTAGTAGAGACAGGATTTCACCATGTTGGCCAGGCTGGTCTCGAACTCCTGACTTCCAATGATCCTCCCCCCTCAGCCTCCCAAAGTGCTGGGATTACAGGCATGAGCCACCACACCTGGCCTGAACTATTATTTTTAATTTTCTGTGTGTTTGAGATTTTTCTTAATAGAAAGTTTAAAAACAGAGTTAAGTAGAAAGTTTTAAAACACAGACATGGAGGGTTGTGAACAACATTTGCAAACACAGGAGATGTGCAAATTCTTAGTAAATACTGTCACTGTCAATGCTTTGGCATTAAGAACAAAGACATGAATTGTAGCAACATCAGAGTTTAATGCAGTGTTTCTCAAAGGGGTTCACAAACCTTGAGCATCACAATCACCTGGGCTCTTATTAAAAATGCAGATCCCTG